ATGAAGGTATCTCTACTCCTGCCAACTCTTTACCAAAAGGTAATGTTAAGCTCACCAGGTATTCCAGTGTAAAAAGTATTTTATATTCTAATTTTCTGTTCTTAATTGTCCCTAGTGCTTCCAGAGCTACTCAGGCTAATCAGCTCTCTAGTGGATTTCTAATATAATTCTGGAAGAAAATTACTTTTTTTTTTTTTTAATATATTTGTCCTTTTAACTTCCTTTCATTCATCTTGTCTCTAGCTTTCCTACAAAAGCATACACTTCACTACTTGTGTGACTCATACTGAGCTTATTTTCCCCTCACCGACTATTGCTCTGTTCTGTGTTAATATTTGTCTCTTCTCATTTAAGCATTTTTTTTCTCTCCCTTACACCATAAAAATAAGTGTCATCCTTCTGTTTGACTCTTTTATTCATTTAAACATCTAATCACATTTAGTAGCACCAAGCTGATGGATTCAGGGACACCCTGCTGTTATCAGTTTCATACAGTAAACAATTATGTTCTTTCTATTTTTTTCAGGACCAGATCCTCAAAATGGACAAAAATAGAGCTGTTCAGTGCAGCTGAAGACTAGGAACGAAATCAGTCTTCCTTGTATTAAGTCAAAGGAGTACTCCACCTTGTTTCAGGCTCTTTTTAATTTTAAAGTCTTCTTTCCTAATGTCAACCTGATGATTCTTTCATTCCTCTTTCCAGAAAATACCACTTCCTTGATGCTAGGTATCACATTAACAACTTCAGTGTACATAGTGTCTGTTATCTAAAAGAATCCCAAGGAGTTTTGGAAACCCTACACAGTCTCATTGACTTGAAGCAACTCATCTATGAATGGGAGATGGATATGCAGCAGCTGTTTGTCAACACATGGAAACATGGAGCACAATAGGATGAATGTTGCAGATTGACAACATAGCGAGAAGTTAGGTGAGCAAAATATAATTCTTGCACCTGGAATTGGGTTAGACATTACTTTTAACATCCCTTTTCTAGGAAAAGCTACATGGGATAACTATTAATAACTCTTTTCAAATTTTTGAGTAAACACTTCATCGAAAATACACAAGGTGAAATTTCAGCTCTTGCTTCAGTATTTGTGTACTGAAAGAGAAACAGGGAAGGGAAGCTCAACTTGAAAGTTCCCATGGTGTGGCAAAAATGAGAGCTAGCTTCACAGCTATCTTTGCAGTCTTCCTGGGAAAACTTTCCAAGCAGCAATGTAGAACCATGGAATCGTGAAGGTTGGAAAAAAACATTTTAGATAAGTTCAACCATCAAACCAGCACCCTCACCACATTCACCATTAAACCATGTCCTCAAGTACCATGTCTAAACATTTTTTGAAAACGTCCAAATATAATGATTCCACCACCTCCCTGGGCAGCCTGTTCCAATGCTTTACACAACCCTTTCTGGGAAGAAAATTTTCCTATATTCAACCTAAGCCTCTCCTGGCACAACTGGAGATCGTTTCCCCTCATCCTTTCACTTGTTACCTGGGAGAAGAAGCCACCCCCCCACCTGGCTACAGTGTCCTTTCAGGGAGTTGTAGAGCAGGATAAGGCCTTCCCTGATCCTCCTTTTCTCCAGACTAAACACAGCCAGCTCCCTGAGCTGCTCTTCACAGGACTTCTGTTCCAGACCTTTCTCCAGCTCCATTGCCTTTCTCTGGACAACCTCCAGCACCTGAATGTCTTTCTTGCACTGAGAGGCCCAGAATTGGACACAGCACTTCAGGTGTGGCCTCACCAGGGCTGAGTACAGAGAGATAATCATGGCCCTGGTCCTGCTGGCCACACTATTGCTGATCCAGGCTAGGATGCCGTGAGAGCTCTGTCACCTATAGAGCAGAAGTCAGCAGATAGCTCAGGGTTATATCTCAGCCAGTTATGTAAGTCACCTCTACTTACATGTCAGACCACTAGGGTGTGTAAACAATGTTAAAGTTTTTCAAGCTGCAGATCAGGCCTAGATCAGGAGCACACAAAAGCAGTTATATTCTGCTCCATCCTGTACCTTTCTTAAAAGCAGACATTTCACATAAGCTATCTTTTCCCTTTATTCTTCATCATGCAGCTAACAATACCTGTGCATGGAATCAAGGCATTTAAGCTGTAGGTACCTCAATGTCACACTTCATAGGAGTCATGCTTTTCAGTAAAATTATCACCTTTCCCTCTCCCTCTACAATTAGTTATATTAGTGTCTCTCACCAAAAAGTGACCTCTCCAGTCTAGTAACTTAAAAGACAAGATGAGATGAGAAAGCATTTCACAGTACAGTGCAACCACATTCTTTTATGAGGATAACTACTGGAAGACATAAGACCAGCTGCTGAAAGGGGCAGACATATTTACTCCTAGAAAGAAAACAGCCTTCCTCCTGAATATCTTAGAAAATTAAAACCAACCCCATTTCAAAACACTGTCCTTACCCACTCCTACAATCTATGGCCTCTGTCATTTACAAACTGTTTACATTCGTGGGCAGATGGAGTCATTACTGCCCTTCTGGCTGATTTTCCCTGGTCTTTAAACTCTTCTTGAGCTGCTGCACTTGCTATCACTGCTTTGATCCAGAGAGTGACAACACACTATTTACTGCTGCAGCTTTACAATCTATCCTGGAATTTTTATCCCTGCCAGTTCTCTGTAGGCCTTCAAGCTGAAACACTCCTGCAAGGGAGCTCCTGGAATCTTTATGTAATGCTTTACCTTTCCATGGGTAAAAGCAACCTGTGTTTTCTCTGGAGTTTGTTTTATGTCAGTATTACAATATTCATTGCCCACACTGTGCCTCAGACATGGCAGGCCAGTCTGTTCTGTCATAGCATCAGCATCTAACTCTTTGGACTCTCTTCTTCTCAGTCTTTAAGATCTAAAAGGACATTTTGGTTGTGACTTAGAAACATTACTGAATTAACTATTTTCACCTATTAATACTGCAAGTCAGGGTGGAAACAGAGGAAGTCCAGTCAGAATCTTCCAAACTATGGCTAGTGTTGAATTTCAAGCTGTAAAAAATAATTTTAAAATTAAGGATAAATTATGGAAGGCTGAAAAATAACTATTCAGTATAACAAATGTATATATTATCTATCCACTCAAGTTATTGCTACCAGTGTTTTTCTTCAGATGTGAAAGAAGTATGTCATCCCCTAAGCTGGTCAGTGTGAAATATACATTTTTAATTTGCAAGCTTATCAGGAATACTAAATCCCATTTCCAACTCGCAGTAATACTACATCTAGTTTGTATTACTTCTCTCCTTGCAGCTTCTACCTTAAAAACAAAAGGCAGCTAGTCCGTCTTAGGAGAAGACATGACAAACTATACCCATTTCAATAGGATTTAACAATAAACAGCCACCTCAACAAAGAGATGCCTTCCCCCGCCTCCCCACCAAAGCAGCATCAGACAAGAAACTAAGCGAGATAAGTTAACAGAGAAGCATTCCAATTAACGAGTTACATCTCTAAAGCAGAAACCAAAGGCTACTGCTGCTGGGGATGCTGAGGGGATGCAGAGCAATAATTATCACTTAAGCACTTCACTCCCTGCAGCCTGGCTCCCTCCCAGCCTGGTTTATCTCTCCCCAATTAGTGCTATCATTTGCATTTCAACTGTGATATCAGGAGCCAGGGCACAGGCACCACCCATGGTGACACACACCAGAGTCGAGCCAGTCTTTAGGCCCTCTGATGCCACCAGGTCCTTGGGGTCCAGAACCCACGCCCACCCCCTTCCCCCCCCCTATCCTGACACCACTCTGTGCTCTTAAGGGGCACCCAGGGAACCTCCATGGCCAGGGATGGATAAGACATCCCAAGGCCAGCTGAGACCCTGCAAAAGGCCAAAAGAGTTTTTCAGGAGGAGGTCAAGCATGAAAGACACATGCTGGATACCAATGGTACACGTTTTGTTTCTGATGCATCTCCTGATATTCCATCATGCTGGGTTGTATTTTCTACTCCAAATGCATTTGTATCTCAAAGCTGCACAGCAGGCAGAGTTGATATACTTCAGTATGAGTATTCTTCAGTGCTTCACACAGGTAAGGTTGGAAAGGACCACTGGAGGTCTAGTCCAACCTCCCTGCTCAAGCAGGGTCCCCTAAAATTCATTAACTCGGGATTCTGTCCAAATGAATTTTGAATATCTCCTGGGAAGGAGACTCCAACCTCTCTGGCAGCCCATTCCAGTGCTTGGTCACATGCACAGTAAAGAACATCTTCATGTTCAGGTAGAACTTTCTGTTCCAGTTTCAGCCTGTTGCCTCTCATCCTGTTGCCCAGCACCACAAAGAAGAGCCTGATCCATCCTCTCAACACATCCTCTTCAGATATTTATAAACACTGATAAGATTCCCTCTCAGTCTTCTCCAGGTTAAACTGGCCTAGTTCCCTCAGCCTTTCCTCCAGAAGGGGAATGCTGCAGCCCTGTAATCACCTTCACAGTCCTTCAGCTCCATTTCTCTGGTAGTAAGGACCCAAAAACTGGACACAGTGCTCCATGTGAGGTCTCACGAGGGTATGAGCGCAAGGCACCAGTATTTGTACTCTTGTAGCACCTACGTGCGGAAGCTGCATCTTGGGGCCCTTGATGCTGGATGTTTATACTTGAGTACTCATGTGTACTTGAGCAGGGTGAAGATACTGGATTGGTCAAGGAGGAACGGATAAAACAAGGATTCTCAGCTAGGGAATGGTCACAATACATATTGGAGATGTGCCATTACCTGACTGCACAGAGCTGGGAGTGGATGTGAGAGGGCCTAGGATGACTGTGGGGAGGCTGAAATTCCAGAGGACAACTGCTACTCTGTGGAGGTAAGACAAAAACATGGCATCTTCAGCTGCTCACATTTACTGCTTTGCTTCCTAAATGGTGCAGCTAAGAAGTAAAAGTTCATCAATACTTAATGGATTTCCTTCATTGAAGGTTGAACCTTGCCTATTTGCTAAGTATCACAACAAAAATTTACCACTGGTTTTAGAGGTGTATCAGCTCTTTAAACAATCCATTTATTTAATAGTACTTGGAGCTCAGGGATCACTCATCCTTGCTGACAGAAAAGTCTGTGGTGCCTGCATTTGTCAATCTGCTCTGTGACATCTCATCACCATACGAGGTGCTACAGAGACCTGCAAGAGGGAGGAACCACTTCAGCTAGATCTAATTCAACATGGCCTCTGTCACTGAAAATAGTATTCTTCTGATATTTGCAGCCAAAAAGAATCAGGGGTACAGAACTATCAGTTTTATTTACTGACAAGATGTATTTCCATGGGTTTTTCCATGAAAGAAAGAATTAAAAATAATTCTGTGGGCAAATCATACTTGTCCACCCATTGCCCAGATGGAGTGGGATACAAACAGCCAGCAAGCGTGGAACAAATGCTACCTCCTACTTAGGAGTGTGCTAGGGAAAGGTCGTTTGTAGCTGACAAGCTGCAGTCAGAGGCTATGAACTATGCTTAGCATATTTGAGAAGCATTTTGCTCCATGCTAACCGAGGAAAATCAGAGATCAAGTAAAACCAAAACAAAACATACTGCTTGCCTTTTCTACTTAACTAGCCACCACAAAAGTGATGGAAGACTAGGATTTGCTGTGACACCTAGATTACCACTTCAAGTTAAAAAAAAACACCTGCATGTAAAGCTCACACAGCTTATTTTCCCTTGCCATCATGACCTCTCTCTCAAAATAAAGGATGTTTAAACAAATAAGCTAAAGCAGTTTCTAAAAAGTAGCCAGAGATTGGACTATGGTTAATTGAAGACCAACAGAAAAGTAATTCGCCCTTTCTTTCATTTCTTTTTAATTGTTTTTAAATGGGCTTTTTTGGTTGACTGTGTATTTGAAATCCTCTGTATTAATAAGCTGGTCAGTTACTGGCTCTCTATCTGCTAACCTGAGCCAAAAAACCTGCTCTTTCCTCTTTTGTCTCCAAGTCAAAAGAAATTTGTATGGGAAGTAAGTCTTCTCCCTCTCCTTGCACTGAGTCATAACACAATGGTAATTTGAAAGCCTTCTATTTATCACCAGCAAAAATGCAAAGCCAGATAGCAAAGAAGGGTTTGAAACAGGGTCTCCAGAATAAAAATTCCCACCACTACAGTCCACATAACTCCTGACTCGGAAATTTTGCCTCTAAACACCACCATGGTACAAATAGGGCTACCCTTCTGTTTCAGTTCATACTGGCTTGACTGACCACATGCTGTCCTGTAATTCTATATTATTTATGGTTTTTTTCCTGCTACAAAATGTAATAGCCTTTTGTTACAATCTAGTTCTGCCAAACTCTAAATCTGCATTTACAATGTAGGCATCTTTTCTACACTTTTAAAAGTATAACAGTGATCCAGGAATTGAGTATGTTAGGTGGAAAAGTTCCACAGAGGGAATTTCTTCAGACATTTCTTCAGCTTCCCCAGCTGTTGAATGACAGCTGGGGAAGAATGGTCTGCTGGAATCATCTTGGATGAATTCACTGACTGTTATTGCTTCCTCATGTGACACAGCAAGGACAGTAGCTAAAGACTGAGGGTGGCTCCTTACTATTGTGACTAAGGAGAGATGACTTCCCAAATGCCCCCCCCTCTAAAGTTTATTCTGGTTACCCTACCTTTAGCAACTGGTCCAGCCAGCTGTCATTCAAAGGATCTTGGCCCTGGAAGGCTCAGTTTCACATCACCAGAGCAGCTGAATTAGTGCATATTTGTGGAAGCCTTTGTCATGAGCTTTGACTAAAATCTGCTGCTGCTTCTCATTTTGATGTCCCTATCACACAAACTGAAAAACCTACATGCTCCCATCCTACAGAGAGATGCTGATTCCTTAAGAGCACACATCTACACTTCGTGTACCAGCAGGTATGAAGCACTCCCCACATGTAATTTTCTAGAAGGATGTCTCGGTTTGTGACAAGTTAGGAGGAAATGCCCTGAAATAAACATCTCCTCTAAAGAAGGTAGGTTTCAGTACTCCCCCACCAATACAAAAAGAATTTCTCGGAGCAAACTGAGAAAAACTGCTTATTTAACAAGTAGAGTGAATGCAGGGTACAGGGGGGAAAAAAACCAACAAAACACTGTTAATATTTGAACCTTCTCACTGCAGAGAAAGCTGGTGGATTTTAGAGTCCTGCTCAGATTCTCCTGAGGTTCAGAGTCAGGATGCTGCAATCCCAGTGCTTCTCTGCTAGCCTGCAGTGTGGGGCTCCTAGTGATGTTCTGATGTTTGGACCGGAGCAAAGCTGAACAGGTCCAGAAGCAGCCACAGTCTTGGGAAAAACTTACTGCTTCAGCTAACAAAAGAGAAGCTAGCTAAAAACAAAGAATTTAACTCTCCCTCTCTCTGCTGAGAAAAAACCAAGAGAGAGAGTGGATGAACACGGACCACTGAAAGTATTTCCCCAGCTTCTCCCTGGGCCTAGCTTAAAATTACAGGACCCATTTCTGGGTATAAAGCAGACAATAGGGGAATACAGTATCATAACACCAACACAGGACGAAGGATCTTAGAACTTCTCTATCTCATTGTTTTAGTGATCATTACCACCATCTTCACATACCAAATACCATATCATACTGAATTCTTAGGGGATTATGCTATCTGAACAACAGAGAAAATCAACAAGAGACAACAACAGGTTGACAATTAGGTTGAGACTGTACATTGGGTCCTCCCAACTGTGATAGACTAGGATAGGATGAGTGGCAGTAATTATTTGAAATGTTAAACTACAAAAGGCAAGACAAATTGCAGTGGAATCCTGGACCACTTTGAAATAGGACACACAGTACAACAGCTTCTCTTCTGCCTGCCTCACATCCCCAAGCAAATGCAATGAGTCAAACAGTATGGAAAAACCAGCTCTAAGATTACTAGTGCATACAGTCATCCAGAGGGTCTCAATAAGGAAAGCTTAGGCAGAACTGCAACAAATAGCTTTTTTAACCCACAGAGAATGAAAAACATTTCCAGGACTGAGATTTAGTGTACCATCAGAAGCAGAGCTCTCTTGTGCATACATGTACGTATATCATCTGAAACAGCTGAGAGTGTATAAATTTCAGGTTCTCTCCTAATGGTCAGTCAGTTTAAGTAACAGAAATATTTAATTACTACAGCATGAAGAAGTACATGGCTACAACTTACATCTTGACAAGAAGCCATCAGCCAGATTTGCAGAGGCAGTCAGCACTCCCTGATCTGAGAACTTAGATGAAGTTTGGGTGCTTGGCTTTGGAATCAGGACCAGTGATCTCTTTTGCCTTCTTTCTTCCTTTCCTTTTCTCCTTTTCATCTTACCTCTTCGTTCAAAACCCACTGCTGTGTTTTTATATCTGCTGTATTTTTATATATCAGGACACGGATTAACGCATCTATTTCCATGCCAAGAGTGTAATTTACTAATAAAGCTTTTTGAGTTTTTGTGGACCCTCTAGCTTTTGTTCTTCCTTTTGACCATGAGCACTTATGAATCTTGTGTGCTCACTACCCTTAAGGGTGTGACATCACATTTTTGGTATCACAGACACGATGCTGTGTTCAAAAGTCCATTTGGGATACCATCACTCTATCCCTGAGTTCTGGGCAGGGCATGCTGGGAAGCAATTCCAGTGATCCTCCTCCAGCTGGGAGGGATTCAAGTAGCTGCAAGCCAAGACTGTCCCAGAAATGTCAGTGCTTGACTGCTCCCTGATTTTGGAAAAGTTGTAATAATATAATGCCTTCCCAATTCCCCTGGGCACAGAATAGGCAAATGAAAATTGGTATAATCCTGAGGTAGTGGTTAAATGCATAAATGTGGTGTTAAGAGAACAAAAGGTGCAAAAGAGGAAAGGTAAAGCAATTTTATGTGCAGTTTTGGGAGCAGCTTTTACTGCTGCCCAAAAGAAAAGGTGTACCAATGAATGAGTAGAGGGGAAAAAATGACTGGACATCTGCAGAATTTGGTGAAAAGACTGCAGAACCAGTTAAATGAGAAGAGAGAAAGAAGGCTTTGGAAGAAAATGTTGTTTTTTACTGAGCGTGAGCATACTAGGAGGCTTCAGGTGGAGCTTTGGGATGTGGATGAGAGAATATTATAGAAGGAATTGCAGGATCCAACAGATAAGAAACGAGAAAAAAAATATGGTGGGATGTTTCCCCCCATCATTCTGTCTCTAGAAAAGAAAGCATGTCATGCAATTACACCTCACACACCCTCTCCTGGTCCAGTGATTCCTTGTTACAGTTACCATCAGGAATATTCCTCATTTGTGGGGACAGAGCTTGCCCCACCATTCCATCTCACATCAAGGGCAGACCATGTATCTTGGGGAGGCTTACCCTGTTAACACCCAACCTCACAATGATCCAAAGCAAAAAGATTAGACAGAAAAGGTTTGTTCATCACTTTGAAGCAGATTGCAAAAACAAAATTAGCTTTTAGAATTTAGGACAGAGAAAAGGAGCATCCACATTGGTTCCTTGGGGTGCTGTGGGAAGAGCTTTAAAAACATTGGACAGTCCTGGGTGTTGGCTGAGTAAGCAATCCAACGCTACATCTAAAGCATTGAGTGAGCTACTGACAAACGTTGACAACATCAGACACGCCACCTTACAAAACCAAGCTGTGATAGACTTTCTGCTCCTAGCTCAGAGCATGGCTGCAAGGACATTGAGGACATGTGCTGCATGAACTTGTCAAACCAAAATGAGTCTATACACAGGAGCACCCAAGTGCTCAAGGAAGGAGTCAGAAAATTACAAGTAGAAGATGACAAGGACTGGTTTTCTAGAGTGTTCGAAAGTTGGGGATTAAAGGGTTATCCTTAGTTAAAACTGGGTTACTAGTTCTTGTAGTTATTTTTGTTGTGTTGTTGATGTTGCCGTGTTTTTTAGGTAGTCTGTTAAAAGCATTTCAAGGTTATATACAAAGAGCTTTCATGGTTCAACAGAGAGGCTAAGATGTGGGAATCGGCCAACCTGAGCCAACCACAGACTCAAGGCCATGGGAAAAATCTTGTTAGTTAGGGCACGTAAAAGTTAAGTTAAAGTTAAGCTGTTGCACCATGGAAGTTATTAATAATTATTTCATATAAGGTTATGTTTCTAGTCATGGTTAATGATTGGTTGTTGTATTTTACATATATGGTTATGTATGTTATCCTAGTTCTCTTTTATGGTTGGACACCTACCCTCAGACCATCCCTTCTATATTGTTATGTTTGCCCTGCCTCTGCATCTTCTGAGGCTGACCCCATACCAAGCATGGCTTATGTTCTTTTGTTATTTTATGTGTTATTAAAGTTCTTTATTTTCAGGCAACCCTGCTGTACCCATCCCTATTTTTATTTTTCCATGCAACCCCTGGCCGGACTGGTCTCGGTGCCGCGGAGCCGAATGCAACAAACACCCATCCTCCCTCACACAAACCAGCCCAACTGTGAAACCCCCAACCCCACAGGCCACATCCATGTGACATTCATGTGAGAGGCAGTTGAGGGAGTGTCATAATCCATCAAAGACCCCCCCGAAAGTGCTTCACCAAGGCTTGCATCACAGGACTGCATGTGATGCAACAAATCTAAAGTCTGTTGTAAGAGAAAATGGCAAACTCCCTCCTGCCCAGGGTGGTGCTTGGGTTTTCCTACCTGGCCTGAGCGTATATTAACCCATCAGATTCTATACTTTTCAGGGGGACCATCACCACCAAGAAGACCACCTGGAGAGGATAAACAGAACATCATCCGTGGATGGTGATATTTTCCTTATTCTGTCTCTTTAACTCTCTTTCTGTCACCCCCACTTCTTTCTCCTATTTCTTTCTCTTCCTTTTACTCTCCTTTTTCTCTTTCACACTCTCATATTTACTATTAAATAAAATCCATACTATTGTCTGGCATATGGTCTTGTTTGTACCTTAATTTGGGCAGAGGCATTCCTAAGAACTTTAATAACTGGATTGTGACAGTGTATTGGTGGGATCAAGACCACCCAAGACCCCAAAGCCCTCCAACTCATTTCCAGGAAAGACTAGGGGAATGGACTGCACATAGTAATCAATTTGCATAAAAACATATCCCCACCAAGCCTAGGCAGGTTCTGGTCACTCACTGCCAATGTGTTCAGTCCAAACAGTACTTATTACACAGAGTAGATGAAACATTTCTTCTATCTCAATAGTTAATGAATACTAATAAATTAACGAGAGACACCTTAATAACTCCGAATCTCATAAGTAAAGAAGTACTCCACTGTACACTAGAAACTCTAATAAAAGAAAATTAAGGATGGAAAGTTAAACCATGGGAAAAGAGGAAAAAGGCAATTTTTTTGCCAGCTCATAGAATACTTGGCTACTAAATCTGTGAAGTAGTAATAGCACCAAGTATACCTTTTTAAAGCTTCTGTTTTTCTCAAATGTACAGTTCATCAGAGAATGCTCCTGCTTCTCATCATCTATTTCCCTTTTCAAAAGGTACTCAGGAAAATAATTTTTTCCTAGCAAACAGAAGTCTATAAGAACTTACAAATCAACCATATCTATGCTATCCCAACTTGCTTTTATTACAGAAGAACAATTCCAGCACTGATATACAACTACATTTCATTCAGTAATTTTCAAACCTGCATGTCTGAAGGTTTGCTTCCAGAAGTTCCCAGAAGTGTACTTCAGCACTTAAAAGAAGCTATTTGGATGGAAAAAGAATCCTCCACTTGAAAAGTGGGGAGAGGCAACCCAAGCAGTCTTTTCTCCTGCCTTGACAAACATGCATCATCACTACACCCATCCTTAATGCACTGCAAAGGAGTTGTGTTAGGTTCTGGACTGATTATTTTACTGCCTCGCAGATTACATTCACTTCTCCAGGAAGCTACTTCTCTTCACAATCAAGGTTCTTCATAGCCTCTCTTTGTCTCTTCTAAATCACATTTAGACTTCTACCTCTGATCAGCCCATGGCAGACACTGACCCCTCTCTACTAGTTAAATTGTCAAACAAATTTCTTCATGGTCCCTGTAAACTCTCGTAATTGCCCAAAATTCCTCCAATGGTGGGACGGAGAATGTAGTGAGAGACCATTGCTATCATGTTAGTTAATATCCAATAACAGCCACTTTGCTTTCTACCTGCCGTCCATTTGGGATCTGTTCTTATACCTGGAACACAATCGTCTTTTAGTGTATGACCTGACAAAAGAGAGCTGTGGGCTTTGGTTAAGCTCTTGATACTCTGGTATACAAGAAAGTTAAGAGCATCAGCAACAGGGAAACTGCAGGAAGGTTTAATAGATTTGGCCATTTTCAACACCAAGTGCTGACCTCCATCAAAAATAGTTGCACAAAAGCTTTGTAGTTCGCCACTATCATCATTACCTACTCTGCTACTTGGGCAGTGGCTTTTTTACCTATCTTTTCTTTAGTGACAGGATGAGAGGGCACAGTCTTAAACTGCACCAAGGGAGGTTTAGGTTGGATGTTAGAAAGAAGTTACTCACAGAAAGGGTGAACATTGGGATGCACTGCCCAGGGTGGTGGTGGAATCACTATCACTGTAGATTTTTAAGGAAGTACTGGACATGGCAGTTAGTGCCAATGGTCTGGTTGACAAGGTGGTGTTAGGTCATAGGTTGGACTTGATGATCTCAGAGGTCTTTACCAATCTAAATGATTCTATGATTCTTCCATTACTGCTAGAACGAATCAAAAAAACCCACTGCTGCTGAAGTTCTTTACCCTGGCCCCTGAGGGCAGGTATGTTTTCCTCTTCAGCATATTTTTTATTGTCTCTACTGTGCAAGGGCATTTCCAGGCAGACAGAAAAGAAGGGCTGCTCTCACTAGCACATGGTAATCTGTCACATTGCAGCTGGTCTGAAGCTGCCCCCCAAACTCAACCAGCCTAGAAGTAAACAAGTTCCTGGGTGAGCTATGATAGGATGGATCTGAACACATACAAAGGATCACAATCAATCTCATTGAGCCCTAAATGCAGATGTATCACTGGCCAGGGAACTGGGTGGTGTTAAGACCTACAATCACATGTGTATGCCGAGGAAATTCAAATGTCCTATAAAAAGAGCTGCCGTAGTAAACTCTTGGCTGTTTTGTTTTATGATCAATAGGACTCAAGTTGTGATTTCTGTCTCCAACTTACAACCACACATAACACATAGTGCACTTGTGTGAGGACACAGCCATCCCACCAGCAGAGTGAGGGGAGACAGAATAGCCCATCAGGCTGCATAAAACTATGGCTAGTGAGAAGAGTCGCCAAAACAGCCCATCAGGCTGTATAAAAATATGGTGAGCGAGGAGAGCTGCCAAGACAGCATGAAGAGTCAACCAAGGTCCGGAATTCCTTTGTAAATACCCCTTGACAATAGAAAAATGGCACCAGGAAATATGAAAGGATGGATTTCACTGGAAGAAAACCTCATCATCAAGGTATGGATTCTCCTGTTACCTAAATGGGGAGTAAAGTATATACAGTAGACATTGCTGGCCTTGCTAGCATGGTTTGGAAACCATAGACTGAACCTTATAAAGACCTGGAAAATTGTATCAGACTTCCTGAGGTGGTTGGAAGCTGAGTGGGATGCAGGGACAGAAGTGGAAATGCCATGGACACTGCTCGCCAAAACGCCCACCAAGGACATGAAGTGGGGCAGAGCGGTGGGTGAAAAACTGAAGGGGGGAGCAACCGTTATTCACCAGAGCTCGCCCACCACTGCTGGCATGAGGTACATCCTCAGAATCCCCAGGACCTGCCACACCCTAGCTACAGGGACCATCTTTGGGTTCCATGCCCCACAACGTGCCACAGAGACAGCTCACCGAAAACCCCCAAGATGGCACTCGCCATATGGCGCAGGAACTGCCCACTCAAGATGGCTGAGCATCTGGCCAGAAACTGGAAAATAAGCCAGTGGCTCCACCGCTGGAGCCCTCCTGGCATTGCTTGTACTGTATGTAAAGCCGCTGGCAGCATTTGCTTCGCACGCGGGTTTGTCTGTGCTGCGACAGCCCAAGCTGCTGGAGCCAAAGCTGGGTGCATTATTGGAGTGCCTGAAACAGCACATGCCCCGGCTGCAAGAGCCATCGCTTTGCTACATGCCCCTCGTCACCATGGGCATGCCTAGCACACTCACAGCTTCAGCACGCAGGCGATAACCAAAAGTCAAGCATCGCACAACATCGAAAGCTTCCCTGAAACAGAGTCCAAATTATGTTGCCTGGCAACCACAGCGAAAGCCCTGTGGATGTCTTCTGCATCATCAATGGACAACCATGAGTCTGCCAGGGCTGTGAGAAGAGTCAGGGGGCGGTGAGCCTTCCCTACCAGCCTGCCCCCTCTCAAACCACATTCTGTAAAGTGGAGTGCAGGTGGCAGAAGTGGTAAGGGGAGGGGGGGTTGCAGGAACCATTGCGGTGAGAGCCTGGTACCAAATGCATGGGTGTAAGAACATGGTGGCAGCCACATGGCTGTGCCATGGACAGTGGGCCACTTTCTCAGCAGGTCTAGCAAGACACCTGCAGCTTTCTGCATGTAGGCAATGAAGAAGTGACCCAGGGAGTCCAATGACACTGGCAGGGGCAGCACCACCTTCCCTGCCCACCCATATGCGGCAGGCTCTGCCTGGGAAGGCATGGCTGCCGTTTTGCGTGCCAGCAGAGCCCTGCAGCTTGTCCCAAGGCAGGCCCGCAAACACCAGGACCAAGGGGTGGGGTCCACCCGCAGTGATGCTGCACCTCCTGGGAAACGCATGGGAGCACCAAATCACAGAAGCCAACCAACTCCCAAACCAAAAGCACCGTTGGGAACCCTAGAGCAGTCCCACCACTGCACCCTGCGCACAGTCCATGGCTCCCCAGTGCCAGCAGCAACCCAAGAGCTCTGGAGTCCATTGTAGCACTCTGAACCAACCCTGGTTGTACTGAGAACCACCATCTTGGGGGTGGGCCCCAAGCAGCCTGGCTCACCAGTCCCCCATGTGGGCAGAGCCTGCCACAGCCCACCGCAGCGCACTCACCTTGGCAGATGCCCAGCATGCAGGGCAAACCCAGAAAAAGCTATCCATAGAACTGAAACACATTAAAAAGCTCTTTTAGTAAGGTTTTCAAAAATCAAACACAACAAATTATTACTATAAAACAAACATGCATTCTAATTTTGGTTTCTAGGTATCTTCAACAGCTTCAGTCCCCATGCTATGATAGACAATACTAAATTCTTTTCTTTTCAAATGTGCATTGAAGTTTCAATATAATACTGTGTAATATTTAAGGATTTTAGTTTCATTTAATAATTTTCTTCTATATAAAACTCACAATAATTTTCCAGGTTGTTTTTACCCTCCTATCATACCACTTTGTAACCCCCTGCATTGCTTTGATTGCTTTTTGTGGATAGATACTCCTGTGATAATTCCAATTTGTAAAGCTATCCTTTCAAGCAGAAATTAACTGATTTTTTTTTCAAGGTACTCTTTCTAGAAAACAGCTTTCACCATACATCTTCCCTAATGTAAAAAGATTACCACTGGCATAAAAAAACCTAACCCTCTCTCATCCTAAATCAAAACACTAAAAATGCATAAACTCTTCTGTTAAACATGCTATCCTTTGAATATGTACTATATTTAATAACTTTAAAGTATCCATAAACTCCACAACTTTAGATTAAGTGTTTCATTAACAAGTTTCAGTTACAGAATTTTCTAAATGGGTATTTGCTTCTTATAATTTCTGTTTACAATGTCTATAAAATAACTTTCAAGCTAAAAATCACTAACTACTACCTTTCATATTTGTGCATAGATAAAGCATTCATACCAACTCCTATTAAAATCAATAGCAAGTGTATAAATATAGCAGGTCTAGCTTTAGCTTTTAGCTATCACTGAAGTACTAGTTTACATGTTTTTTTATCTTTAAACCAAAATATAACCATGGCTTTTAATATTAAGTTTATACAACTAAATATGCAAAAGTAATAACAAGAATTAACAAAAATAGTTTATTCTGCAGCCTTGAAGTCACGTCCTAATAAGTGGACATGTCCTTATAGTTTTCCTAAAGAAAACATATTAATTAAAAATGCATAATCATCCCAAAAACCATGCTTAAATTAACTGAAATTCTTAATTAGCCCATTGTAGTGGTTTAGATCTGTCAATTTGAGTTCTCCAGCCAATCCACTAAATAATGTGGTGGGTTTTAGCACTGGTTAAAATTACCAGTGCACTTATTTTTTGTTGTGAGATATGGATTAGGAGAAGGGCAAACCAGGCTTAAAACTTAAAAGGTATAAAGAAAGTTTATTAACAGGATTACAAGAATAAGAAGCATCAGAATAAAACTTCCAGACCACCATTCCTCCCCCTGCCCAACTTCTTCTTTTCTTAATTGATTATGTAGAGACAAAACTTGGGATGTTAAAGCAGTACTAATTGTACAATAGTCTTAATCAGTTCTTGTAGGGGGAGGAGTTTTCTCTTGTCATGCCATGGAGACTTCTTTACAAGAAACAGTTTTCTTGTGGTTTTTAATTTTGACAAATAGCAGCTGCCTGGGCAAAAAGTTCTGCATCGTGACATTTCCTCCCATTTTCACAGCTCTCCTAGAGGTGTGTTTATGGGCTATGAATTCATGGGATATTATTTTAAGGATGAGTTGTTTAAAGGCAAAAGGTTTTTTCATCTGTCTCTTTTATCATCTTTGGGAACAGTGGTTTTCTTCTTCTCTCCCTGGGGGCAAAGGGCCTTCATCATCTCTCATCTCTCTCTCTCTCCCTCTCTGTTCAAGCTTTTCATGGGATCTTAGCTACTCTAACATCTGCTTGGCTTTATCAATGGATGCTTCTGCTTAGATCTACAGTTTGAACACTTAATCTTCCCATACTCTTTCATGAATTAAAGGAGATATTTTAGTATATCATTGTCCATCTCCATGGCCTACCAAAAGAATATTTCAGCCCCATTTGGCATCTCATTCTCCTTCCATCTGAGGCTTGACTCCTTTACTGACCTTGGTGTTTTCATGTTGTCTTTCTACGTGTCGTCACTCTTTTACTCTCCCTGGAGAGAGGACCAGGGTCTGCAGGTCTCATCTGTGTAGTGAAAGGGTTAATACCTCGCCCAGTGGCCACAGCAGTCACAGTGTTGGATTTCAGGCCACGCTGGGCCCCTCCTTCTGTCCGGCAGCCGCTGGGGGTGGGACAGTTCTGGCTCGGCCTGGAGCCGTCGGTGCGGGCTGGGGGGGTTTATATCATATTATCTCATATTTATATGAGATATCAGCAGCTGTGACCCGGCCCAGCCTGGAGGATCGCACAGCCTCCATCCCCTGCCCAGGAGCTGCTGGGGCTCGGCCTGGCCTCCCCTGCACAGGCCGTGGGGGAGCAGGGCCGGCCCCACCAGAGCTCCGTTACCTTTCAAGGCCGGAAGCCAGAAAGAGAGAGATTTCCCGGGCTTGTGGTTTTTAAAATGTGGATCTCACAGGGGCAGATCTAATTTCTCAATGGTGCAAAATGTTGCCAGTTCTCAGAACTAGCCAGCTATTGGCCTTTCCCAGACACAGAGGAAGCTGCCAGCAACTTCTCTCAAAGAAATCGCTTCTGTGGGTGGTTTCTTACTCCTTTCCCCAAATGTCAACCAGTGTGACACTACCACACCCATGTATACTATAATATCTCATCTTCCTTTTTTTATTTTCACTGACTAACTCTATTTCGAAACGCCTACCAAAAAGAAAAAGCTTGGTATTTACACTACTATCATTAAGAGTAAATTAATTCCTTCCAACTTAAAAAAAAAACAAAAAACCAACCAATTTAAAAGTGTTCTTAGATAACAAAATTATTCACTTTTGTTATCTCTGTTCTATAATGCTACAAATTATCTGTATTTATAGAGACAGACAACCCAACTAATTTTGGGTTTTTAATATTGTGACTTTACAAAGAGTTTCTATAACTAAATGATGCTATAACATTGAGTACAACTATCAAATAATAAGCTAAAAACACAGCCAAGCAAAAAAGCCTTCACAAGAAAAATTCAAAAGCTCTAAATATACCTTAAACCATCTGTGAGACCCTTAGAACAAAAAGACATGTCATTTTTAATTATATACCAAGATGTAACCTATAAAACCTGAGACAAAGAGATGTTTCCTTTCATAATTTTAAATTCGTTTGTAACAAAAAAGTAAATAGTACTTTCAAAATAATTGTGTATATAAATATTTGCATAGTTATAGTTACTTACAAGTTGCTTATAATATCATTAGTTATTTAGCTAAAGATAGATAACAAAGCCAACTATTATATAAGTTAATACTAAAAGACTTCTTTTAAGGCTATGATAGGGAAGCCCACCCAGTCTGGGTCTCAGTTGTGGCGAAGCTGTGGCCTTGACTTGCAGGAGAGGTGTTCCATCAAGCTCTCTCAGTCAATGTCTTAGTTTGGCCAAACCATGGTGTTGACTGGCAAAGAAAGTTATCAAACCCACATGTTTCTGTGCTAAAGATGAAAGCAAGTCACTTTGACTAGCTGATTTAGATTTGCAGAAGGTAGAACACTTTCCTTTTGAGATAGACATGGGAGCCTTATCTGAAGAATGTCACCATGGCAGCTAGCTTATAGCTGACATATAAATTTGGTCATGTCAGATCCTCAAACTCTACCAGCCTAGAAGTAAAACAAGTCCCCAGATGGGGCAGGGATGGGTTTGATGCAGACTCAAGCAGGGACCTCAGTCAGTCATGTTCAATGCAGAAAGCAGACATATCATGAGTCAAGGAGCTGGGTGGTGCTAAAACCTTGACCAATCAATTGTCTAGACCTGGGGTTTCGAACTGACTATATAGGTAGGTTCTGAACAATAAAACACTGTCTGTCTGCTGATCAAGACAGGATTCAAGTCATAATTTCTGTCTCCAACCTATGACAGCATGTAACAGGTGATGTCCCATGTGAGGACACAGCCAGTCTGCCAGGAGAGTGGGGACTGACACAACATCACTTATACATCAGCTGTATAAAAATACGGTGAGTGAGAAGAGCTGCCAGAATGGCACAAAGAGCCAACCAAAAATCCAGATTCGCCTTTTTAAATACCCCTTATAAATAGAAAATGGTACTGAAGAAATGAGAGGATATCTTTCATTGGAAGAAAACCTCATCGTCAAGGTATGGATTCTCCTTTTACCTAAACAGGGAGTAAAGTATATACAGCAGGCATTTTTAGCCTTGCTAGCGTGGTCTAGGAACCACAGACTGAATGTTACAAAGCCCTGGAAAATAGTTTTGGATTTTCTGGGGTGGTTGGAAGCCCAGTACAGTGAAAGGATGGCAATAGAAATGCTGTGTGAACATCCACCCACCAGTGTGCCTGCCAAAGACACGGAGCGAAGCAGAGCAGCAAGTGAAAAACTGAGGGGGAAGTGGCTGTTATTCAACGGAGCTCCCATGCCAGCACTGACAGTGACTGCATGACACACAAGTTTGTCCATGCTGCGGCCACCTGAGCTACCGCCACCGGGTGCATCCTCAGAATTCCTGGGGCCCCCCATGCCCCAGCTACAGAGATCATCTTTAGGCTCCGTGCCCCACAATGTGCCACGGAGACAGCCTGCTGAAAAAAACCCAAAATCACAGATGCCACTTGGAGCCAGAGTCAATTGCCCAAGATGGCAGAGCACACACGGCACCTGAGTCACTCGCCCAAGATGACAGAGCGCAGGAGGCAGCTTGGGAGGGGAGAGACACCATGCCAGCCAAGTAGAGGAAGCGACCAGAGTCACTCCCGTCGTGGCACCTGGGACTCTATCCAGTTCGCACACCAAATCCCAGAAACATCATAGTGCAAAAAAGCAGTCGAGAAGCTGGCAGCCCCCCTGCAAGAGCCATCCCAGCACCACGCTCACCTGCGCCATGTGTGGAACTGCTGGCGCCCGGGGCTGCAGGCTGCCGCATACTGCCACATCTGCAGTTGGGACTCAAGAAACCTGGAAAAACTGATGCAATCAGTGCCGCAGTCAGTGCCTGAACAGGGACTGAGAGACCCAGCCAGTGTGAGCAACACTCGGGACCACGGGACATCACATCATGCCAGTTGTGAACAGCCCTGGACTCCAGCAGAGCAAAGCGGTACCGCCCACCGCCACCAACAAACTGTGTTGCATGGCAACCACAGGCAGCAATGATATCGACCCTTTCTACGTCTCCAGCCAACAACTGTAAGTTTACCAGGGCTGTGGGAGAAGTAAAAGATGGTCCCTGATCCCCCCCATTCAGTTAATCTAGAGGAAAACCCTAACAGTATCACTGGAAAGCCCTATCCAGCAGTGCATCCCCTTCCCCTATGCCTTCTGCGGAGGTGCAGCACTAGGAGAGGGGTGTGGAGATCTACCAAGAACTTAGGAACCAAGGAACTCGGCAATGCCAGCAGAGGCAAAGCCAGCAGAGGCAGTGCTGTGTTCCCTGCCCCCCACCACGTGTCCAGCTTTGTCCAGGCGTGGCTGTGCCTTGTGGGCTGGGAAAGCCCTACAAGCCGCCCCCAACCCCCGCCATCTTCCCAGCTCCTGTAGCAGCCAAAGTTCCATCTGCTATGAACCCTCGTGAACTAACACTGGAACCTGGCTGCATAGGCAACCTCTTCCTAGGGAGATTGCAGCATTTGCACAAACCATGTGCAGAAAAACCCTGTGAGCTAAGCCCATCGTTTCTACAGCTAGTTCATGGAACTTTTCTTATTTTTATAATTCAAATAGAAATTTGAATTATACACAATTTAAAGAGTCTATACTGATATTACACCCATGTTACCACTACCCCAAACCCTTTTACCGTACCACCATGGGACCACCCCCTACATTGCTTTAATTCCTTTTGGTAAACAGAGTTTTAAATTGTAAGCTATCCTTTCAAATAGAGTACCTTGAAAAAACATTAGTTAATTTCTTTCTAGAAAACAGTTTTCACCTTAAATTTTTCCCTGATGTGAAAAGATTACCACTAGAATGAGAAACCTAACCCTAACTACCTTTCATATTTAAAATACTATAGAACCCAATATTTGACTGAACATACTTTGTAATAACTCTAAATAATGGCAGTATCTTCATTCTTGAATTCAACCATTTATATTATATTTATGCAATAAATATCTAAAAATCTTATAAAATTCTTAATATTCCAAAGTCATGAATCGGAACATGAGATAATTACACAAGAAAGACAAAGCTGTTAAATTTTACTTTCTGTCTGCATAACACAAATGTTCAGAGGACCAAAATTCATTAAGAGTTTAAAATAAGATGAAATTGAACTTATTACATTCTTGCCATCTCTAAATTACAGTGTCTGGAGTTGTAATAAGGAAGACACTAGCCTGTTGCTTTAAAGGAGATTTTATTGCTAAGAATGAATGGTAATACCTTTAATATTTTAAAACTTCAATTCCAACCATATTACAAATATCTCCCAGTTACAGACTTTTTATAAACTGCCGTCCTGTACTGCAAACTGCCTGTGTTTGTGGAGACAGACAACCCAATCAGTTTCACACTATGCTTTTAGCGTTATAACTGTACAAACAAATTCTACAAATGCAACTGAATGGTGTTAAGATCATAACCAAGCAAAAAAGCCTTCACAAGAGAAATCCAAAAGCTCCAAATATACACCTTAAACCATCTATGAGACATTACTAACTCAAAGACATGTAATTTTTAATTATATACCTGTAAAACCTAATTGAAACAAAGAAATGTTTCCTTTGGTAGTTTTGCTTTGTTTATAACAAAAAGGTAAATAGTACTTTCAAAGGAGTTGCATATATAAGTACATAAAGTTATAGTTATTAAGGTATGATTAGTTATTTAGCTAAGGATAGATAACAAAGTCAGCTGTTCTATGAGTTATTACTGAAAGATTTCTTTTAAAGATATGATAGAGAAGCCTTCCCAGTCTAGCTCTTAGTTCTGACCAAACTGTGACCTTTACTGGGAAGGGAAAATATATTATCAAAACCAGGTGTTTCTGTGCTAAAGATGAAAGCAAGTCACTTTAACTAGATGATTTGGCTTTGCAAAAGCTGAACCCCTTTCCTTTGAGATAAACATGAAGGCTTCATCTGGAAGAAACCTTTGGAAACAGAAGATTGATAATGGTGGGACAGTCTGCCCATCAACCTACTCGAATTCCAAAAATCAAATATTTGGAAGACGTATTTGGTAGAAATATGCATAGTTTTAACTGAAATACTTTTGAATTGAATTGAATTGTTTATTGTTTATAATGTTAAGTTGTAACTTTGTAACTTCCATGCAGTTAACCTGTGACATGCTAGCCTGAAGGATTGTGATATTTGGTGGTTTTGCTCCCAGACCTAAATGTTGCAGCTCCAGTGATACATGGAGCATACCCCTGGCTGGAGGAGTTAGGTTTGTCAAAGTGAGTAGAAAAGCCTCATTCAAATTAGACTCATGCTATCCTTGTCTTCTTGTCTGCAAGGTGCCTGCAGGAAAGATAACAAACATATTTACATTTTTTAAAATAATCAAAAGGGTGATTTGTCACTGTGGCAGCTAGCTTATAGCTGGCATATAAATTTGGCCTTGTCAGATCCTCAAAGTCTACCAGCCTAGAAGTAAAACAAGTCCCCAGATGGGGCAGATGGGATAGGTTGGATTCAGATTCAAGCAGGGACCTCAGTCATGTTCAATGCAGAAAGCAGACATATCACTGGTGCTAAAACCTTGACCAATGAATTGTCTAGACCTGGGAGTTTTGAACTGACTATATAAGTAGGTTCTGAACAGTATAATACACAGTTTGTCTGATGATCAAGACAGGACCCCATGACCTCACATAACAGAAGGCTCTCTAAGTCCACATTGTGAAAAAGAGACTCCTCAGTGATAGCAGACACTGGGTAATGGTAAAGCATATAAGCAGTGTAAGTTTCACCAAGTTAACTTTGTTCAAAAGTACATGTTTTGTTCCTGCTATGGTAGTTAAAACAAAGAAAGGGGGAGAAGTGTGGGGTGGATGTACACCCCCTTTAAAAAAGTCTTGGGTGTGCTCATATTCTCATGTTTTTCAACCAATTCACAACATAACCTAGCAAGCCATCAGTTTGTCAGAAGCAGAAGACTGCCAATGGTAAGACAATCTGCCCATCACACTACTGAAACTCCAAGACTCAAATATTTGGAAGACATCAATAATTGAAATATGTGCGGTTTTAACTGAAATAGTTTTAAATTGAATTGTTTATTGTTTGAAGTGTTAAATTGTATCTTTGTATCTTCTAAACATTAAGCCTGTGACATGCTAGCCTGAGGGATTGTGATGTTAGTGGTTTTGCCTGATAGCTTCTGGATGTGAATGCCACAACTCCAATGATACATAAAGTACATTGTTGTCTGTGAGAGACTAGGCTTGTTGAGTGAAAAAGCCTTATTCAACTAGGCTCATCATTTGTGTCATCATGTTGTCTTTGTTATCCTATCTTCAAAGCGCCTGCAGAAGATAACAAAGAACACTTTTACATTTTTTAATATAACCAAAAGGGTAATTGTCACAGTGCAGCTGGTCTGAAGCTGCACATATGTATGCCCAGGAAATTGAAATGTCTTATAAAAAGAGCTGCTGTAATGAACTCTCGGCTGTTTTATCTTAATGATCAATAGGACTCAAGTCGTGATTTCTGTCTCCAACCTAGGACTGCATGTAACAGTAATGTAAGGGCATGTGGAGTACCTATCAAGCCTGGCATGGCCTAATACAGCCCAAACTTTGGGATGTGCTTTCAAAGTGAGTTGAAACTCTGAGACACACAATGTCTGTCAGTCCTGAGAATGGACTATGTAACTACTCCACCTTGACTGGAATTTTTATCCATCTTAAAGTCAGGATTAATCACCATGTCAGAGCCTGTCAGCACAGATAAGGGAATATTTTCTGTGCCTCTCACTCCAACATCACCACAGCTACAGCTTCTTGATAACATGTGAACAGTTTTGGCTTTTCTCTATCTGGTCCAGGGCACATGTTGATCAGCCAAATGATGCTCGTGTAAAAGCACAAGCTCTGGTCCCCTTTGTTTTGTGCCTCAGCTGCACACTCAAACTGAGAGCATGTCAGGGTTGGCATCACTGACAGAACAAAGGAGACAAAGGCTGACACAGGAGAGGGAGACTTTGTTAGGCTCCTGAAGAGCGGTAATATCAGAAAAAAAAATTAAATAAAAAGCAAACTCTAGGAAAGGACACACCTGGGTCAGGAGCAATTTTTAAAGGAGGAAGCTCTTCCCATCTGCCATATGTGGAGGGCTCACTATTCATAAACCCAGGCTTTCCTTACAGTTTTGTGCAAGAGAGCATGGATCTGGTGAACAGAGAGATCCAGAGGGCTATTTCCTATGCCACTACAGCTTTAGTAATGCCTGCACTGCCTTATCTCTTTGTAAACAAGCTAAACTAGGCTGGGCTAAGTGCACAGGAGAGTACTAACCATGAGTGGATTTAAGGTTCTTGGCACTAGATACAGCCACTTGGTTTAAGTGGCACGTGTCTCAGTATTAAGGATCATGCTAAGCAGTTACAAATGGATATGGCAGGCACAGACCATTCTGCACTGAATTTAATGCAGGAAGTTGTGTGTGGTCCAATACCGTAGGAATTCCAATACATAGGAAATCTGAGAGCTAAAAATGCACCCAGAGGAATTAAATCTCTGCTCTTTGCCCCCATCTGGAGCTCAGGAGTGCCCAGAGTGGCCTTTGTATAGCCTCACCTCCAAATATTCCCTGATCTGCACTTATTTCCAGTACTACTTAACATGCAAGGGACATTTCCAGGGAGACAAAAGGCTGTATCTCCACCCCAAGCAGCTCACAAAATTAAGGATATGCAGAGGGGATGGATGTGCCCCTTCAATCTCTCCCTTTGCACAGCTTCAGAATGCAAACTTCCTTCCACTCACCCAATTAAAAGAAGTACATTGATGCATTTATTTATTAGTGCAGCAAGAGACCCCCTTGTCAGCAGCACTGAAGCTGTGCAAGTGACTCTTGCAGATGCCATTGTTCTTAGACATAGGATTTCATTACATAAAGCCTGCCCACTGAGAGACGTGTTGGGAAGGAGGGGACAGGAAGGAGGAGGAGGGAGGAAAAGGGTGGGGGAAGCCTTTTACCAGAGAGGGGAAAAGAAAACCTCAGAGATCCAAACTAAATTATTCTTGATTCATAGGGAGGCAGGATACACAGCTCACACTCTAACAGAGACACTTCTCTATGGCAGACAAGCACTCTGATGATTGTTGGTTTTGTTCTTACAACAGGAAACTCCCCCGCCCCTCTCTGTACCGCTGGATTCTCAGAGGCACCTACCACTACTTTTACTGCTCCCTTTTCTGCAAGAGCAAGAAGAGCTGCTGGAACACGCTGCACAGCAGCTGAAATAGGAAACATCCCGGGATACAGCATCCTTCAGCTCACCCAACAAAAAATCTGCTCAAATTCAAAGGGCTGGCAGTGAACAAGATATTACAAAAACATATTTCCTGTGCATGAGCACAGCAAACAGCATAGTACAAAACTCATGATACATCACCGTATGGCTTCTGCCATATTATTTTTGCTAATAATGTAAAACAACATGCACTATGGTAGCTGCAACAATCACAATGCCACTACAGCCTGTTTGTGTCAGGATTAAAGTGGCTTCTTATTAATTATTTTGGTATAGCATTGTATTTTTAAAAACCCTGAGGATGGACTGATATTATTTAGTTATTTTTCACTTAAAGTATGATTAAACTGTTCAAATGTCAGAAGTCCCAATTTTTCAGCAAAACGGGGATGAGAAAACATTGCTTTCTGAAAAAACAGTAGGCATGATGTCAACAACCTAGTAAAAATACCTGTTAAAAGGCATGGGTTTATAGCAAGCAATAGCTGAACGACTATTCTGAGCTGTAAAGATGAGACAGAACCAGAGAGCTCTGTCCTGCTGTGATGAGCTGCAAACTTAATCAGGATCCATACTGGCTTGAAATATGTAATCTGTATTGTCCATTTCTCTCCTCCTCTCTGTGTCTGTACAGATGGTCAAACCCTTACAGCTAACCCTGAGCAATGGATAATGAGGTAATAACACTTCCAAGCCTCCAGCCTCTGTGGTTACTTCCAAATTAACATCCAAACTACATTATGCAATTCACAACACCAGAAACAAGAGTCTAGTTCACCAGTCAGACCGACATGTTAGTCAGGAAATGGTTAGAGCAGCTAAATTTCTGAACCTATTTTTGCTCTTTAAAATTGTGTACAGCTACTGTAAACATACACATCAAACCATGTCTATGTTCCAGCTTCAAGAGAAAAAGAACAACAAAAAAAAAAACACTGTAAAAAACCCCCCCAGCCCCCACCTACCCAGACTTGTCCTGAATACTAATGCTAAAACGATTACAAAATGCTAATTTGGTACCAGCAACCTATGATTAAAAAAACAATGAAGCACCTCAAGCACATGAATTAAAGCATCATCTTAAACATGTTTTTTTCATCTTAAGCAAGAAAACCCTTATATATACACATCTGTGTCTTTTCTTGCTCATGATGATCTCAAAGTTATATTAAAGATGCACATCTTTATGTAAGGTAGTCTAATGCATTTGGTGTTTGAATGAAAGCTAAAGACACCACAGTACTTTTAAAGGCAACCATAAATGAAACCAAAATCTCAGCTAAGATTATTTTCTGTCAGTAAACACGACCCTGAAGGCAATTCTCATGGATTACTGGGATGCCTGTTGAGTTACTTGAGTACCATTACCTAATATTCAGTATTTGATACAGAACACCATTACATGCTTTCATACTTAACAAAACCAATATACATGCTTGACTTAAGCAGTCAGTGGTAAAAATGTAATTTCACACTTCTGAGGCAAAAGGCTCAAGGTTTTTGTAACAGTAATAATTAATCTTTACAGTTTTTGTTTCCTCTCCAGTTTAAGGCATAGGAAAGGCTGATTTCCTTCTCCATGCTGCACTGTTCACTAGCAGCAAACTGTGAAATGTAAACCTCAGTGCTCAATTTCTTTTTGTGTGTTCTAAGCATCTGACACTACTCCCTCAATACTATATAGGACTTTTTTACTCTCATCTTGCATTTGTGCATAGTATCTAACTTACCTAATGCCTTCCATCAATAGACTGAAAAAGTAGGTGAATCTCCCAAAAGTCTTGCAAATATACTGGCCGTTTGAGAGGAGGAAGATTGCTTGGCCAGGACCAACTGTTAAACTGCAGGACCTATCCTTCACTTTTTGTCTAAAAAACTGAAATGTTTAGAACAGGTATAAAGACCTAACCCCAGTTAAAGCTTGGTCAAAAAATGGCAAAAAAATGCAAAGATGAAAAATAAAACAATTCCAGAAACTCCTCCACTCTCTGTATGTTTACCAGACACATTGTATAAATGTTTAAATTTTCTAATTCATTATAAATATTCAATATCTTCCTACATCAATGGTATCCTTGACAGATCCATAAGTAGATATTTGACTCTAGTTAAATGCTCCATAGGGAACTTCAATGAAAATAAAATTCCTCCAACTAGCAATAAAAACATTTGTGTCACCTACACACCCAGAAATACACCAAACCAAAAGATATAATGCTGGGTTCTGGACTGCAGAGAAACTGAATACCAACTTAGAAAGAACTAAGCCAGGAAGTTACAAAATAATTTTATTTATTTATTTTTTTCTATTTAAACTTGTAGCCACATCAGATGGATTATATCCTTCAACTGATAAAACATTTACATTGTTTGGCTGATGTTCTTAATTAATTTGAAGAACACCAGCCAATTGCATGCAATTAACAATTACAAAGGTGCAATTAAAACTTGCAAGAGGCTAGTAAGTCTCCCATAGGCTCTCCCAGAAGCCGACAAAGTAGCATTTCCACTTCAGATCAAAGTAAACTACAAAACCCAACTAAATTTGCATAGATTATGTACCACAGGAAAAAAATACTTGACATTTGACAAGAACAGAAGTTAATTTTTTCACTATCACTTTCACTATTCTCTTTGCAAAGTGTTTGTTTCCATTAGAGAGGGAAGGTAGTTCAATAGCTAGTACAAGGCAAGGGGGACTTGCCAAAATGACACAGATTAATTTCAGTGTCAGGAGCTACTGTAAATCTCAGCGGTTTGAAAGGTACCATCAGCTGGAAAGGGGAGGGGATGAGAGAATCTATTTGAAACATCACGGAATGTAGACCTCAAAACCATGAGAGAGAACAGCACTGGAAAATAAATTACTTTATAGCAAATCTAACAAACATTTTCTATAAGATGTCTTGATTTCGAGGCGCTATTTCACAACTGAAGTTTAACATCTCTAAATCTGGACAACTTTCTGTTAGCAACTCTGAGGTACAACAGTGAATCATCATATTTTCCTCTGTTATTATTGGGTTCTAGAGCCTGCTCCACTTCTCACCTAGAGTTATTTGCCATTCTTGCCATTTCTTTTCCATCTCAGCCTAACACCACCATCATTTTGACTTTGAGAAAGCAGCAAAGACATAATAACGATGTATATTGGTATATATTTTCCCTCTCTAAAACTGATTTTGCTCATATGAAGGCATAAACAATCTAAAGAAGCATGCTCGAGCCATCCACAGCTTTCACAAAAAGCTGCCTTTAAAGCTATCTAGTTCTCTTCTACCTGAGCCTATAAACACTGCTGGCAATTTTCCCCCCCATGCCTCTAACGTATTTTCACTTAGCACCAGTTTGATGTATAAGATCTGACAACCAGGCAGTTACAGGCCACCTGCATCACTGTTGCCATGACAACAGTGAAAGACAATCCATGATCCCATACCCTGGTCACACGTTTCAATACAGCTTATCTGTCCAAAGCCACTGAGTCTAATGGAAGAGAGTAATTACAATCTTGCACTCATTGTCAAAATTCTCACCATATAATGCTCTTCAAAATTATTTTATTCCTCTCTCATGGCTGCTGTGCAGAAAAAAAAAAGGGGGGGGGGGGGAAACAAACACCAAAAGAAACCTTAAGTGGGCTTGGAAGGGAAAGAAAGAGTGAAAAGCAAGTCTGTGCCTGATAGAAAAATGCAGTAGTGTATGCAAACTGGTTCTTCACAATGATGAAGGACTAATCAGAAGCAGGGGAATGTACCAACCACAAAGAGGGATATATGAAAATTTCTATTCATAGAGCATCACTTAAGATCCTTTTGATTTTCCACTGGAGATGAAGAGAGGATATTAGCTGCCCTCTTTTCCCCTCCCCTTCCTGAAAAACTTCCTATCACAATGAACAAGCACCATGCTGCACTCTGCAGCAACAGCAGCCTCAGCAACAGCATGGCTCTTCAAATGACCATGTCACTAAAGAGAGAGGGAAATGTCTGAGACAGCAGAGTAGCAGATCCTCCTCTCCACCCTCTATAACAGACTGTCTCTTTAATTTTTCATTTTTAAAGCAGAACTGCTGGGAAAAGCTTCAGAATTTTACCCCTTCTGATCCCTAAGGGATTGCTGCATTCCCTCCATCTCTCACAGAAAGTGTCAAAATGTTATTCCTATGTCTATGGCCACAGCCATAATTAGGATGGAGATCATGGTAATATGATATTCAGTTTGTACCCGTAAAACACGGATATTACTTCTCTGCCTTGTAGGAAACAGAGGACAGAGAGAATCCAGCGAGTACTTGGACTGTCAACCTGCAGTGGATACAACACTTTCTGGAACAGAATTTAGTGCTGGAAGATTAGGTTGCATCCATAATAAATGAGAAGCTTTGCTTTCTGCTTTATACTCCTTGTCCCAATCCTTCCTTCTCCTCCAAGCTCCTTCATGCAAATCAGTCAGCACGTCAAAGCTCCAATTTACTAGGCATGTAATAACTACCCCTTGAATTAGTAAAAAGTGATAAATCAGGAACAGACAAAAAGATACAGTAATTTATTAAAATGTTCCATCCACCCATGTCCAAACCACAATAGTAAATAAAATATCAGATGACTGCCCATTTTAGAGACATATTTTTAGTTGATTGCTTTCAGCCACAGCATTTGCAACAGAAAATGAAAGCTTCATTCACAGCACATTACCTGCATTTGCCATACAGGGTTACCCAGGCTCAGCTGACACAGTAACACCACTGTAACTCCAGCCCCAGAGTCCTGACTCTCAACTCCCAAACCACAAGGTAAATAAAAAGCCAGTCTTTTTTGGGCAGTACTTCCAGGAACACAAACAGGGTTGAGGACCCTCAATCCTGATGTAGTTCAAGCATGCATTTGAAATAACATTCAGCATTCATGGCAGAATTACTTTAAAGAGAAGCAGTGCTGTGATTTAATGACCACCTTTTAACATGTCAGCCAAATAAAACATTACAACCAACAAAGGTAATAGTATCCTTAAGTTTCTGTAGAGCTGCGACTCCTTCCGGAAGCCCAGTACAAACCTAGTGCCTGCACCACAGAAACAGCTGGTGCTGTGGCTGTGCAGCACAGACGGCCAAGGCTGCCCAAGGGGACAGAGAGATGTGTTCAGAGGGCAGCAGGCATGGCCTGGCATGGGTTCTGCAGACTGCACAGAGCGAAGTTGGAAATTCTCTACTGATGACAAGTAGGCAAAGCCCTGCTTTCACCTGGAGCTTTTAAGGAGGAGGAC